AAAAAAAAAAAATCTGTAAAATATATGTAAAAAAAAAAAACACCAGCAAATGCCAGAAAAATTAAGCAACAAGTTTTTTAGACTGAATTGTTAGCACATTTTTAAGATTGAACTTAAATTTAGAGTAAAAAATGTACATTTTGTTAACTGAAATAATGTTAATATGCGAAATTACTAAAATTTGTTTTTGTAATATACTGACAACCACCTTAAAAACACAGGTGGTAAAAAAAAAAGACAAGTTCATCACATGTATCTCTTCCACAAGCTGAGGTAAATGCTAATATATAGAAGGTTTTTACCAGAGCATTTTAACAGTCTTTTACTATTAAAATTTCAGTCATTTTATACGGTAAAAACATATAATTGAGTTGTCCTCACAGGCTGCATGCAAAAACAAACATACAGCGTGACCAGTGTAGTCTGATGCATGAACAAATGGCTCGTTCGTGAACAAATTAATCATTTGAGCCAGTTCTTTTTAATGAATCAAAAACATACAGCGTGGCCAGTGCTGCCCAATTTCCAAAATAAATTACTCTTATGAGGCATTTATTAAATTAAAAGCTCAAAAAGATCTGATTGGTTTTATTATGCACCAAAATTGCCCAGCATTATAACTGAAATATGTGGCCCTGGACCACAAAACCAGTCATAAGCGTCAATTTTTTGAAATTGAGATTTATACACAAAGAATATCTCTTTGGATTTGAGACTTCAGTCTTTGCAACTTTACGCACCTTCTTTATGCACCAAGAGCTTGTAACACTCCAAAGAGAAAGGAAAACTTGAAATCGCATCATATGACCCCTTTAATATCCTAATGATTTTTGGCATAAAAGAAAACTCAATAATTTTGACCCATACAATGTATTTTTGGCTATTGCTACAAATATACCCCAGCGACTTAAGACTGGTTTTGTGGTCGAGGGTCACATATGTGATTTTTAGTGAATCAAAAACATACAACATGACCAGTAGAGCACAATTATAGTTGAAATATTCCCAAATGTTTCTTAATCAAATTAAATGTGAATCAAGATCTTGTAAATCGAACTGAATCTTATCCAGAATCACAAAATTGGGCAAATTAAATTAAACGTGAATAAAATCAAGATCTTGTGAATCAAAATAAATTGAACGGAATCTTATCCAGCATCACAAAATAATTGGATGGTTACTGCTCAAATCAAATTGTCAAATAATACTACTGTTTCACTTTATAAATAAAATGGTGCTAAAAGCATGAAATTGTGGCAAATTCGCAATAGAAACTGGTGAATGGTTGGCCAGGTGCGTTGTCTTGTTTAAAGGGCCGGTCACGCTACACTTTTTACATTGACTTCCATTCATACGCATGATGTGAATGCAGAAGAAAAGAAATGCAAGCTCATGCAAATTTTCCAAAGTTCAAGTTTGGTGAAATCTGCCTTGAGAATTCATATCATTGAAGTCATGTGACCAATAGAAGACCAATAGAAGTGGCTTCTTAGCTGAATTAAAGGAACATAAACTTTTAAACTGCTGGATTGCAGTGTTGCAGTAAAGTGAAGTAGATTACATATTTTTACATTTTGGATGTATTACGTGTTATGTTTTTTATATATATATATATATATATATATATATATATACTTCTAATATTATAATTTAAATTATTACATATTTTTCCACATCAGTGCTGTTTTTTTTCAACTATTACATTTTTTTCTAGGTGTATTTTATAAATAAAACCTAATTTTAGATTCACTTATATTATCAGTGTAATTATTATATATTTTTCCACTTCAGTGTTGTTGTTTTTTTGTTTTTTTTTAATTATTGTGTTTTTTTTTCTTAGGTGTTTTAGAAATGAAGCATCATTTTAGATTCACTTCTAATATTATCAGTTTAGTTATTATATATTTTTTATATAATTAACTATTTTTCTTGCATTTTGTAAATAAAACCTAATTTTAAAATTACTTCAAATTTTCTGGCGGAATTTTATAAACTAGCCTAATTTAAAATTAGATATTTTTTTACATGTTGAGATGAAAAATCAGACATTTTTTTGAAGGGAAAAATGGTTCTGTACTCATGTGTGATGTGAATTCACTTATTTTTTTTGCAATGCTTCTATTTTGTTCATACAGTGTTGAAACACCTTAGAGATATTTATGAAGCAATTAATGTTCCCATATTTTGATTCTCACACAACAGTTTTTGTTAGACGTGTGAAATGTACTATATATATGCGTGACGCTCCCTTGTCAACAGAAGCTGATAACACAAATCTAGACCACCCAGCATGCTACTGTACAACCAGTCTGATATAAATACTATATCATGAATGAAAATGAAAGAAAAGTGCAAGGAACTTTGAAACACAAATTTCAGTGTACATTAACTGAACAATACGGCGGAATAGGAATGTTTAATAAAAGGAGAAATATTTTAAATATATGGCATACAGAGAGTTGATGAATGAATGTTGAAACCTTGTGAAATCCCCTTAGCCATGTTTAAAAACAACTGATACTTTAGCGTCTGATTTTGAGTGGCTCATATCAAAGGATAAAAAGGGCATGTCATGTACTCCGTAACCTTAACGTAGTATTTATGTTCATTCAGTCGTTACTTATGCTAAGCTGATGATGTGCTGGTTCAAACCATCGAACGGCTGTCAACATTTAAAACACACTGCCTTCAATCCAAACACATGCTCAGATTTCATCTTACCACAAACAAACACAGCGTTTTGGTTTTAGCAACATTATATACAAAACATACTAGAAAGAAATAAGAGTTAAATGTGTATTTAAGTATCACTGTACTTATAAAAGTATGTGAACGCATAATTTGTAGCCAAAAGTCTCTGAAAAATGGTTCCCTTTTGATTTCTGTTCATTCATAAATGAGTAGAGGAGACAGTTTAAGAGATTAAAGGGTCAAATTCCTTTGCCAGTTTAGTTTGGATTTTTGACCCTAATCCTGAAAACTATAGTTTATATTTTATCCATATTACATTTTATTTCAACAACAGAAATATATATCGGAATCAATTCATGATAGGCTTAGGTCAAGTAAGAATGCTCTTTCAAAAATATTTCACAGTTATTCAATAAAAATGGACATCAAATACTCAAATGCAATAGATAAAAATAAATATAAAGGCTCAAATCATGAGAACAAGAAATAGTAAATATAAACTTAAATATAGTAAAAGTATTAAAAAAAGTGTAAGAAAAAATGAGAAGAAACTTAGAAATATAGTAAAAGTATTTTGAAAAGTGCAGAAAAATGAGTAGAAACGTAGAAATGTAGTAAAAGTATTTAGAAAAGTGTAGAAAAATTTGTAGAAATTAGAAGTATAATAAAATATTTAGAAAAGTGTAGAAAAAGATGAGTAAACACTTAGAAATATAGTAAAAGATATTTAGATACGTGTAGAAAAAGATGAGTAGAAACTTAGAAATATTGTAAAATTATTTAGAAAAGTGTAGAAAAAATAAGTAGAAACTTTGAAGTATAATAAAATATTTAGAAAAGTGTAGAAAAAATTTGAAGAAATTTAGAAATATAGTAAAAATATTTAGAAGAGTGTAGAAAGACTGAGTAGAAACTTAGAAATATAGTAAAAATATTTAGACAAGTGTAGAAAAAGATGAGTAGAAACGTAGAAATACAGTAAAAATATTTTTTTACTTATTTAAAATAAGTAGGAGACTGGCTGTCTCTGGCTAGCTTAGTCGCCCCTTTCCCAAAGCGATGCGAAAAATAAGTAGGAACTTAGAAATATTGTAAAAGTATTTAGAAAAGTGTAGAAAAAATAAGTAGCAACTTAGAAATATACTAAAGTTATTTAGAAACGTGTAGAAAAAATAAGTAGTAACTTAGAAATATACTAAAATTATTTAGAAAAGTGTAGAAAAAGATGAGTAGAAACTTAGAAATATAGTAAAAATATTTAGACAAGTGTAGAAAAAGATGAGTAGAAACGTAGAAATACAGTAAAAATATTTTTTTACTTATTTAAAATAAGTAGGAGACTGGCTGTCTCTGGCTAGCTTAGTCGCCCCTTTCCCAAAGCGATGCGAAAAATAAGTAGGAACTTAGAAATATTGTAAAAGTATTTAGAAAAGTGTAGAAAAAGATGAGTAGAAACTTAGATATATTGTAAAAATATTTAGATATGTGTAGAAAAAGATGAGTAGAAACTTAGAAATATAGTAAAAATATTTAGAAGAGTGTGGAAAGACTGAGTAGAAACTTTGAAATATAGTAAAAATATTTAGACAAGTGTAGAAAAAGATGAGTTGAAACTTAGAAATATAGTAAAAATATTTAGATAAGTGTAGAAAAAATAGTAGAAACTTAGAAGTATAATAAAATATTTAGAAGAGTGTAGAAAAAGATTAGTAGAAACTTAGAAATATAGTAGAAACTTAGAAATATTGTAAAAGTATTTAGAAAAGTGTAGAAAAATATGAGTAGAAACTTAGAAATATAGTAAAAATATTTAAATAAGTGTAGAAAAAGATGAGTAGAAACTTCGAAATATTGTAAAAATATTTAGACAAGTGTAGAAAAAGATGAGTTGAAACTTAGAAATATAGTAAAAATATTTAGATAAGTGTAGACAAAAATTGTAGAAACTTAGAAGTATAATAAAATATTTAAAAGAGTGTAGAAAAAGATGAGTAGAAACTTAGAAATATAGTAAAAATATTTAGAAGAGTGTAGAAAAAGATGAGTAGAAACTTAGAAATATTGTATAAAAGTATTTAGAAAAGTGTAGAAAAAATAAGTAGGAACTTAGAAATATACTAAAGTTATTTAGAAAAGTGTAGAAAAAATAAGTAGGAACTTAGAAATATACTAAAGTTATTTAGATAAGTGTAGAAAGAGTGAGTAGAAGCTTAGTAAAAAATATTTAGAAATGTATAAAGTATGAGAAAGTGCAGTTGATTGTGAATAAAATGGTTGAAACCACTTTAAACTAAGAAAATACCTTTGCTCTGATTGATTAAATTGTTTCCCACTGAAAACTATAAATGACAGATTTGAAGTTTTACAAGTTCCTGTTATACAAGAGGGCATGAAAGCTTTTCCTCTCTTTTTTATGAGAATAAAACTGAGCAAACGATCAAAAGAAAGCAGAAAAAGAAAGCTTTGAGACTGGCTGTCTCTGGCTAGCTTAGTCGCCCCTTTCCCAAAGCGATGCGAAATTAGCTTAGGTGTACCAGGCAGAGCCGCTGGACTTGAAAAGTGAAAACATTAAGCTCAGATGAGTTTGCCTAAAGACTGATTGGCCCCTAATTAGCCAAGTGACCTTTGATCTTTTCAGAAATAAGTACAGGATCAGGTTTGGGAGCGAGACAAAGGCAAAAACAGTCTTAGCACACACCAAACGCTAATTCAGCAAAGAATGCCTGTAATTAGGAGCACTCGTTTCATTCCAGCGCATATTTAACGCTGGGAAGAGAGAAAATAAGCTGGAAAAGTGGGATGTAGGATCATAGCCGAGGGATCAGTTTCACCATTCACTATGTTTAAAAGAAAAACTAAACAAAACACAAGAAATATGTTTAGTGGCACAGCTCATGGATTTTACTTTTGGAGGAGCCTAATACTGTTTCAGTGAAAAGGGCGTCTTAAACGTATAATTTGTACTAGTCTGTGAAACCTATGCCATTGTATCATAATCCGAATCTGCTTCTCATAATATCATCATCATCATCAGTAGTGTATTGTAGTTACTCTTGAGGAACAATGTAAAGCTGTGGCAGAGAGTAAGATTTTCAGTGAATGAAGCAATAAGCCCCAAGAAGCCGTGAATTTATAACAGCTAAGGGGGTTTTAGGCACTCTGCTCCACGCCGTGCCTAACAACGCCCCTTAGCTGTTATAAATTCACTGTAAACCACGGCTTCACTGGGCTTATTGCTTTTATAAAACGGTTATTCCATATATGTAGTAAAATTTCACAAAATAAAACAGAGCAAATAAAGTATAATGATAATAAAAACATTATTCTTCCGCCAAACAATGTAGTTCCTCAGAAACAGTTGTGGTTCCAACAAAGTGGTTGCCGAGCAACACACAGAAGTAAACAAAGGTGTATGTTTGTAGAGTAATTTACAACAGCTTCGAACGCGGCTCAACCAATCAGAATCAAGGACCGGAACTATCTGTTTTATAATAGTGAATTTATTTTCGATGTCCTCACTCAAAACTTTTGTATGTTTTTAGAAAACTTAGAGAATATTATAGCACACAAGTCAGTGTGGATACTTTTATGATACTTTTGTTGGTCATTCTCTATTCACTTGCAGTGTATGGATAAGAACAGCCTGGACATTCTGCTAAATATTTTCCTTTGTGTTTAATGTTTAAAGAAGTAATATGGTTTTGGAATGACATGAGGGTGAGTAAATAACAACAGAATCTTCTTTCTTAACCTTAATAAATGACTTAACTTTGCCAAACCTCGCCATCTTTAGGTCTTTTTTCCATTATTTATTTATTTATTTATTATTATGATCCTTCAGAAATCATTATAATATGCTAATTTGGTGCTCAATTATCATTTTTATTAATCATTATTGATGCTCAGTTATATGATTATTCCTATTTACAATGTTTTGCTGCTTAACATTTTTGTGGAAACTGTGATACATTTTTATTTTCAGGATTCTTTGATGAATGGGAAGTTCAAAAGAACGTCTCTAGGTTACGTATGTAACCATGGTTCCCCGAGGGAACGAGACGCTGCGTCGAGTTGCTTTGGGAACGCCCTTGCGTGACCGCGTTCTGAAGCACGTGTCAAATCAGTCCAATGGAGCAGCGAGACGTCACGAGCGGGGTGACGTAAGCACCAGAAAGTATAAAAGCGCATCCAGCAGAATTTCCACGCTACCAGAAAATCTACTAAGGGAACCACCCTCTCGAGGCTGGCCTCTGGTATTATTAGAGGAGCCAGTTCGGTGCCCTGAACCGGATGACCGGCAGGGAACGACCGACCTGACTGCTGTAGCACCCTCACTTGAGGGGGCGGACAGACAACAGTAAATAGACAGACACATACACAGAGCGCTACTGAAGAGCAGAAGCTGGTTTGCGCTCTGCTGGATGCGCTTTTATACTTTCTGGTGCTTACGTCACACCGCTCGTGACGTCTCGCTGCTCCATTGGACTGATTTGACACGTGCTTCAGAACGCGGTCACGCAAGGGCATTCCCAAAGCGACTCGACGCAGCTCGAGTTCCTGAAGGGGAACAACATTTATTTAAAAGAGAAATCTTTTGTAACATTATTTATGTCTTTCCTGTCACTTTTGATCAATCTTAATCTTTTGTTTTTAAAAATCCTACTTAGTCCAATGTTTTGAACTGTACTGTATCACAGTTTCCAAAAATATGAAGCAGCACAACTGATTTCAGCACTGATGATAATCATAAATGTCTCTAGAGCAGCAATCAGTATATTAGAATGATTTCTGAAGGATCATGTGACACTGAAGACTGGAGGAATGAGACTCATCAATTATGATCGATGCATCACAGGAATAAATTACATTTTAAAGTTATATTTAAATAGAAAATAGTTGTATTGTTTGCATTAGAAACTTCTTTCAAAAACGTTTTAAAAAATCTTAATTATTCCAATCTTTTGACTGCTAGTATATAAAGTGTGAGTTTGTGTTTTCAACGAATCAACGAGAGTTTTGTCCATGTTAAGCAAAAACATTTTCATACGCATGCAGCTGCTGCACATGATAGATCAGGACTGAACTGGTGCATCTTCTAAACCCCAGACAATGTGTCTCATTCTTGCAGCCTCAGCATTGAGAAGGATGTTCTTGTGACAGTATCTAGCCGGCGGCAAAGAGCAGCACACAAGTCGAGCAAAGACGAGACGAAGAAGGCCAATCTTTGTTAGTTGCCTTTTGCCCTCTGGATTGCTTGAGCGTGTCCTTTAACAAAATGTTTGAGAAACTTTCAACTGCATGCAGGAAACAGTTTGTTATTGAACTTTAGATTTGGGACTTTAGTGGGCACATAATCCATTGTCGAATTTTATGCGATTGACTTGAATATAGTTCGCACAAACAGGAAATGCATCACTTATTGACCCTGATGTCATACCTATCTTAACCTCACACTAGTTTAGCAGAATATCTAAGCTGCTCTTTTCCGTACAGGGGCTGTTGCGGAGACGGTAAAGCACCAAAAATAACTGGAAAAAAATCATTTGTGAGCAATAAAATATGGCATATCAAGATGTGCCGCTTGACGTCAATCACAAGACAGCTATATGTGAGCTATTGCAATCAAACCTGACGAGACACCTCTCAGTGCGTATTTGCAGAATTGGATACGTGCAGTCAAGTCACATCAGCTACTTTTGTAGTAAGTAAATGATAACAGAATTTTCCTTTGTAAAAGGACTGATTTACATTCAGTGTCCTTAACATCTTAAAACACTTTCTTTGTATTTACTATGTAAATAAGCTTTATTAGCACTACACAGAGCATTCAGTAACACTGTGGTTAGTGGAAAGGCTGTGTTGAGTTGCATTGGCTCAGCCAAAGCTGTAACTGGCCATTTAAACAAGTCAATCATAAAGTCTCATGATTGTTTATGGATGCCATTCAGATGTATGCATATATAGCACATAGATTTAAATAGTGCTTTGAATGTGCTCTGCTTATTTCTTGCCTTAGGATACAATCTTTATAGCTTTCTGGTTGATCCTTGACTTCAGTTTATCCGTTCAGGCCATGCTGAGAATAGATCCCTCTTATTTCAAGAGAAAAGATAGAAAGTCTGCTTTAGGAAGTCTGTTATGCTTACCAAGGCTGCATTTATTTCATCAAAACTACAGTAAAGACAGTAATATTGTGAAATATTATTACAATTTAAAATTTTTGTTTTCTATACGAATATATTTAAAAATTTAATTTATTTCTGTGATGTAAAGCTGAATTTTCAGCATCATTACTCTAGTCTTCAGTGTCACATGATCCTTCAGAAATCATTCTGATATACTGATTTGGAGTTTATTGAGGCAAAAATCATAGTTAATAGTTAGCTAATAGTGAGAACTGGTCCTTAAAATAAAGAGTGACCAGAATTGTTTATATTTGAAATTTTGTTGTTGTTGTTTATTTATTGCAAATTCTCTGTTTCTTAGAGATCATACAATCTTTTAATTTAAGCAGCTAGTTAAACAACTAGATTTTTACCATGACAAACTCGCTGCCACAATGCTACGTCGTTCTGAACGGTTTTCATTGGTTCTCAGTGTTGCTATGTGGTTGCTAGTGTGTTTTTGCTGGTTGCTTGCTGTCCCAAGTCTAAAAAGTCAACCTCTAAATCTATAGATATTCTGCTCCTTAGAAACAATTTTAGAAACATAAGAAAAATAAATGGCTTACTTAAAGGGATAGTTCACTCAAAAAAATGCAAACTCATCATTTACTCACCCTCATGTCGTTCCAAAACTGACTGACTTCCTTTCTCCTGTGGAACATGAAAGAGCATATTTTGAAAAATGTCTTAAAATGTTTTTTATTTTTTGGTACAGTGATAGTCGGTGGCGTCCACACTGTAAGAACAAGAACTGTAGAAAATGGAAAAATTGACATTTTTCGGTTAAGTTTAAAGACATTTCCTTTCACCCGTAAACACAAAACAATGCAACACACGATTAAAAATATTCAAAATACAGGTAAAACACCTGTGAAAAATCAGAACAGAAATTCTTATTAGCACAGTACACTGGACGCTGTTTTCAGAGCAGTGTTATTCAGTTTAGTCATGCATATCGTTCCTCAGAGAAGAGCGGGAAATATAAGTGACGTTCAGCTGTCAAAGATTAGGCGTGGGTTTCGTTAGGCTTTCTCTCATTTACAGCACAGGGATTAGGCCTGTCACGATAACAACTTTTTGTTGTGCGATATATTGCCCCAGAAATAATTGCGATAAGCGATATTATGAGTCACTCTGGAGCTGCAGAAAGACTCCATTGTTTCAACCTGACACTGCCGTCAAAGTTGCTGCATAAAGGCATATTTTGACATAAAACAGCACAAGTTCAGTAGTGTTTGTTGTGTCTTGTGTTAATTGTTCAACAGGCAAAACTAATCAGTTATTCACCCCTTTTAGGCACAACCAGCTGCATTCTTTATTGGTCAGGCCAATTTAATAGATTAGATTAGAAGTAGCTTCAGCTGATCAAAGAGTGTTCAAGGATGAGGATTCATTCACAGCCGTTAAGTGCTCACACATAAATATAACAATTTATAATAGTATAAATTATATAATACCTATAGTAAAACTACTGCTATCACCACCACTACTACTACTAATAATTATTATAATAAATAAATACAGTCTGTACTCTAGGGCTTGTCCTGTTTGTCCTGAAACACTTGCTAACTGAGTGTGAGTGTAAAGGTCATTTTGTTTGCAAGGCTCATGTGGAGGAGGAACTTGAGGACTCTTAAGAGATGAATAACTGAGCTATGAATAGAATGGGAGTCTTATTTTGGAAAATTACGGTAATTATTACTGATTTGATGAAGGAACAGTGATTACAGGATTCTTGGAAGTTACATGTGAGATAAAATGATTCAGGTTATTGTCTTTAGTGTTTTAAAATGATGACTAATACTAATTATTATTATAATAATATTATAATTATTATTATTATTGTTGTTGTTGTTAAGTAATATCATAAAATACATTCTTAAAAATAAATATTGTATTTCAATGAATTATTAGTGACTTATGCTTATATGGTTTTAAGGGTGAAAAGTTGGAACATTTTTAGACATTTAACCTTTTGCTGGCCGTTTGTAATTTTTAGATGCACTAAATAAATAAATAAATGCATACATACATAAATATATATTATTTGTGTGGTTCAGTGTGTCTATTTTATTTCACAAGGGGGAAAAAAAAAACAGCAACAATTTACATTACAGCACCAATAGAGAAAATAACCAAAAGAGAAAATAAACAAAATATATATCTCGTAAAAGTATCTT